TCGGCCCCTTAGTAAAATATGGACTCTTGGTAGGCATGATGTGCTATTCCACTGAATGATTCAGACCAATTTTTCCCTGAAACATTTAAACAATTTTTCATTGTGTTATACAGTTAAGCTGCCGTATTTCTTGAGACCCCTCTTGAGTCTGTGAGGGGCAAGATATTTTTGAAAGTGTCGCGTATCGATTTATTCCACGAGGAACTTCCTAATTATGTACGTTTCCCTGATGACCCCATCTCCCCCCCCCCCACCTTACAAACCTAACACGAAATTGAATAGGGGTCGGTTGTATCAAAGGCGTTTGGCTTAAAGGGTGTATAGGCAAAAAATTAAAAAATTCCTTCTCAATATACATATATTGTAAGTACTTGAACTTAATTTTTATCAACTAAATGAGTATTTTTATGCATTGTTATTATGTTTAGATAGAAAAGAAAAGTTTAGTTTGCTTGCAGTCAATAGTTCATAGATTTGTTTAATTTATACAACCAACCCCAGATCTATTTATCGGCCGTTGTTCGCACGCAAACAAATATGTAAATGCTTCATATTTAACTATTGGAAAACGGTTGCCGGTGGTCAGAATGTCTGACACTATCAATCCAAAATTCGTAAATTAGTATTGCAGGAAACATGCGGATTGTCGGAGAATCTTTTTATCGAGTATATATTTATAAAGAATATAGTGTACACAACGCAACCACGTCCAAATTACGTTTCTCCTGGGATAAATCGATGTGGACGTGTTAAATAGCAAAGGTGTTTCTGTTTACATAAAAATCAAGAAATCATCTATATCTATATAGCATTACCTAGCTGTCGGTAAATAATTTGGTATTTATTCCACATTTACTTACAATGGTCGATGCTCCTTGAAACTTTATGTTAAATATCGATGAGATCTCTTTTTGTACACTAAAGTTGATGTTATTAAAATTACAATTTACAAAAAAACAGACAAGGAACTACATTTAGGAATGTTTTACTAATCGAGTCCATGTTTTACTAATCGAGTCCATGTTTTACTAATCGAGTCCATGTTTTACTAATAAAGTCCATGTTTTACTAATCGAGTCCATGTTTTACTAATCGAGTCCATGTTTTACTAATCGAGTCCATGTTTTACTAATCGAGTCCATGTTTTACTAATAGAGTCCATGTTTTACTAATCGAGTCCATGTTTTACTAATCGAGTCCATGTTTTACTAATAGAGTCCATGTTTTACTAATAGAGTCCATGTTTTACTAATCGGGTCCAGTCCATGTTTTACTAATGAGTCCAGTCCATGTTTTACTACATGCCGAAATTTAGTGCTGAAGTGATTAATTAGTAATTATTTAGTGTTATAGTGAAATTTAGTGCTGAAGTGACACAATTCAAACGTTTCAAAAATATATAATTCGCAAATAAATATATAATTGTAAGGAATTAGTTGATTTTGTTTCACTGAATCGAATGGTGGTATTAAGATATGAACATGCAAAGGTCGGTAGCTTCTAGCCACTTACGGTGCTTGGGACTGGGCGAAAAAGAGTTTTAAAATGTTTTTAGCCGTTTTCGGCGAAATAGTAGAGTTAATTTAATATTTTCTGGTTTGTTTTTAAAATTGTTGCTGTATTATGGCTAGTTTATACGGTATCTGGCTTCATACGAGCTTTAAATTTTGTTACCTAGCCTAGCTTCTGCATGAATCAAGTGAAGGCCCATATGAATAGCTATCATAATTCTAATCCTACAGCAGATACAATATTTCATTAATTCATTTTCATCGTATTAACTGAATGTAGATGACATTGTCCTGATATTAATGAACCTTAACCTTAAGGTAAACAAATCTACTGACTTTGATAAAATTCCAGCCAATGTTCTCAGACTCTCTGCGGATATTATTGCTCCGTCATTAACATGCATATAGGCGCTATATTATATTTAATTTATTACTTGACACTGGTATTTATGTTGATGACTGGAAACGCGCGCGAGTAATTCCAATTTACAAATCTGAAGATAGACGGGAACGTGAAAATTATACAACAATTTCCATACTCCCCATTGTTAAGTAAAGTATTTGAGAGAGAGGTTTTTCGACAGCTTTATGGCAAATCTTTCAATAACTCGTTACTATCTAAATTCCGATCAGGGTTTAGACCTAAACACTCAACCCTGTCTGCGTTAATACAAATGTATAATAATTTACTTAAAAACATAGATAGTGGACAATTAAATTGTGTAGTTTTTCTTGATGTTAGAAAAGCCTCCGACTTTATAAATTATGAAATTCTGATTGATAAAATGCGCAATTCTCTCGGAGTAACAGGAAACCAACTAAGATGGTTCGAATCATATACCTGAATAACAGAGTGCAACAATGTCTTATAAACGGTCAACTATCGAGCCCAAAAACGATAATATGTGGAGTTCCACAGGGGTCTATCCTTGGTACACTACTATTTTTATTATATATAAATCATATGCCTGATTTGTTAAATCACTCAACTCCTTCACTATACATGCTGATGACACGGAAATTTATGCATCTTCGGACTGCGCTGACCTTGTAACAAGATAAATATTGATCTTATACGCAAATGGATATGATACAAAACAAACTTCAAATCAACCCCAGTATATCGAAACATATGTTTATTGCATCTTCCTATAACCTTAAGAATAAAGTATCTAGCTATCCTATTTTAATTAATAATAAGCCAGTACCCAGGACTAATAAATATTCATGCTTTGGCGTGAATATGGACGAAAGGTTGTCTTGGGATAAACATATCGATTCTTTATCTTTTTGTAAATCAGCAGCGGGCGGAATCCTAGCGTTTTCTGCAATCTGATTGGCTGCAGCAGCGGGCGGAATTTTACGATATTTGACCACGGTCCGGAATCCTATACGTAATGGCCGCAGCAAAGCAAAAAATTTTTGTATGTTCGTTTTAAAACTGAAAAATATGAATATGTAATTTTGAAATAATTTTAATGATGGATAAAATAATTGTACTGTATTTTAATTGAATTGTTTGTTTTCTAAAGTAAAATAATTAAATATCAAAGTTTTTAAATAACTTATATATCTGTTCTAAGGTTGGTGCCGGTATTGGTGCAATGTACCACTGTCGACAACCAAAATACTATAATTGTATAATGCTATATTGTACAGCCTAATTTCGATTATTGCAGCTCGTTTTGGGATAATTGCGGAATTGGCCTCAAAGATAAGTTGCAAAACTACCAAAATCGTGCTACAAGAGTAATTACTGGTGCAACTTACGACATTCGATATTCATCTGATTTACTCGAGAATCTAAATTGGAAACCTCTCGAAGAAACACGAAACTACCTTAAATCAATTTTCATCCATAAAATCATTGTCTGAATGGCCACACCACACCCAATCTTAAAGAAGCATTTCATCAATAAATCCATCAGTTGCAGTGTGAAACTCAAAGTTTAATAAGTTTAAATTACAATCTCCCTTTGAAATACACAATTTGGATTATTTTGAGACAATAATTATAAAGAATTACAGTATCGTAAACAATAACAAATGTTTCTACTTTATCTTTTATATCACATGGGCAAATCATTAAAAAAAATTTAAGGCCTTAAAATTTGTAGGCTATAGGTAATCGCATGGGGCCGAGTGAAATTAATGCTTAATTTCACGCGTGTTTTCAAAACAAGTGAAATTAAATCTTAATTTTGCGAGGAACTATGCGATTACTTGTTAATCATAGAGGGCAAAATTTATTCGTAAGTTAATTGTGAAGTTGTCAAGTTCTTGCACCTTTTACTTTTTCTAATGTTCAAGTTTTCAGTAGAAGTTTTTAATTCTTCAATAACATCATTATCCGCGACGACAAAGCGAGAAGCTATTGTTTTTATTGCTATTCAAACCAAGGAACTTCCCGTGCTTGCGTCTCAGCCAATCAGGTACAAGTAACTTTGCCCTGAATTAAGAAAAAAAATGCTCTCCTCATTAACCAATCATATTTGAGTGTTTCGCCCTCTATATGATTATGTTTTAAAGTACGAACCCTGTTTGTTGTTTCAGCTCAATGGGATTAGGTTCGGTTAAAAAGTTAAACGTCTGAACTAGACCTTAGCTTTGTACCTACATAATTATGTCTTTACTCTGTAATCTTATTTCTATATTTTGCCTGCAATGTTGACAAAAATTATCCAAATCATTATTTTTACAGCTGATCAAAGCATAAAGAAATCCTTTCTATAGTAAATAGTACCAATGACAGTAGAAAAGCGGCAAGGATATGTTTTCCTGCTAAAATCTCATAATGTGGCTCTAAAAATAAACACAATAATTCCTGTTATTAATCGATTCTCTACTTCGTAATTAATCCCCTCTCTAATAAGCCCCTCTGTCTAATACACCCCCTATCTTTGCCTATCTTTATAAACCCCTCTCTAATAATCCTCTCTAAAAAGCCATCTCTCGGTCACTTTTCTGCATAATAAGTACCTCCACTATTTCACACCTAGCTATTATGTTTCCTCTCTAATAAGCGCCTTTGTCTAACAAACTCCACTCTATTAAGCCCCTCTCTAACATGCCATCTGGCTAATATGATCCTCTTCTCTTAATCTTCCCTGGCCCCACCCATACAACTCAGAAACATAATTCTAATGATTAGATTTATAAACTGTTCTGGAAGTTTAGCTCGTTTTAGATGATTCGTCTGAACAAACTTGGACAGGAAAATATAGTTCGTCTGATAATTTGTCTGTGTATAAACATGCACAGACTTACACAGTGAACAAGAAAGTCATTCATCAAAATGAACTATACAAGCAAGAACGTTTGAGTTGATGAACTGCGCAGATAGTTTGTCTTGACAGGTGATTGGCTTGTTTGGCGCGAGTTTAATTATATATCAGAGGAATTACTATCTTGATTTTTCCCAAATTTCGTCCGGAGAGATCATTTGATCGTCCCTATAGCAAAAATCAGACCCTTGATTTCTTACCTCGATCATGCGAAGCGGATCTTCTGAGGATCCTTGTTTCTGCCATCATAAGCCTTGCATGAAATATCATTTGTAACAATCTTCAATCCATCACCACTTGTGAATTGAATGTTCTTAAGAGTTGCGTCCTTTTCTACCACCACGCAGCCAGGCAGGCACTGTTCGTATGCCAGATATTTATATTGTGGTAAAGCTTCGACATGCTCGTGGATGAGATTATATCTTGGTTGAGGACTGTTGCAAACATTACACTGACGTATCAGATTGACTGGATTATTCGCATAGCTCGCATTGAAATACACTTCTGTCGTTGCAAGAAAAACTAACACAGATTAAAGTTACGGTGTAATATTTCCTTGCAGCTGAAACCTGAATTACGAAGAACGTATTCGCGAAACGTCGAAGGCTGACTAATGCGCCTCGGGTTGCCGCCAAAAGCTAAGGTAGAATGGTTTCTTTTTGGTGAAAGGAAAAGCCTGACCAGAGATTCCGGAGAAATTAGATCTTTCAATGTACAGGAAAGGACCAAACTCATTCTTTCAAATGATGTTTGCAATATTTTGTAAACTCAATATATACAAAAAAAAGATGAAGACATTAGAAGTGCGGTGGCAGAAGTTGTTTACACTGTGGCCTTAACGTTTCGCAAACAATCGAAAAACGGAGTCTATATATATAATGTAAACATATAGTTAAAAAGTAGCTTCACGCGAACAAATTCGCCTGGAGGAAAACGGGCTTTACATGAGTTTTCAAGCACGTCAAGTCAGACGGCGGTTGCCCATCAAGTAATATAAATACCCTAACCTTACACATTCAGTCTAGCAAGTGTAACTCAGTGATAAAGGGAGAGCGCGTTAACCGTATCTAGTTTCCGTATTCTCCTGAATATATTGTCATCAACCTATATGAACACGTTTTATGGATAAGATATGACTAGAAATTTTCTAGAGAACGAGAATTACAAAATTAATTACAAAGCATGTACGTTTTAGATTGGTACGACTAACCTTCGTTATCAGTTGTGGTTTTGTACAATTTCTTGTTCCTGTTTGTCAAGTTCCCACATTTGCAAGACGTATGATTATAAACTACATATTTATAAAACTTCTTTTCATTGTTTGGATCCCGATCTTTGTTTGTTATATCCGGGACCACTATCTCAATTTCTTCCGTTTTGTTTGGCACGGGATATCCTTCACTGTCACTGGAGCATTCGCCCACCTCAATTTTAACACAGCGATAAACTTCAATGAAATATTGAGGTCTGGATGATGGGGTGGAAAAATTATCATCGTATATTGAAACCACTTCTCTTTGTGGCCCTAAAACAAAAGACCTGAGTATTGGTAGGTTTGAGTAAGCGTTTTGGCCTATGAGTAGCGCTATAGTATACATTAAGATAAAATGTTCTCGAGTGAGTGCGTCCATGCAAACTGCGCAATATCACAACATCACATATTGTTCTTAATTCTATTATTTCTTCCAGATACAAAACTAGAGCCGGATATAATATTTAACAAATATAAAACATTTTCCGTGTTATATGAATTTTTTCTGTGCTGGTGTTGTGTACTCAGGTGAATAATATGTTTGTGATGTTACTCTGAGTGCATATCCACACCGGGCGAGCTTGAAAACGTGGCCGGGCATATTTTTCAAGCTCGCCCGGTGTGGATATGCACTCAGAGTAACATCACAAACATATTTTCCGTGTTGATATACAGTTATATCAACTCGAGTGGAATTGGGGAAACGAGAAATTGTATGGAAACACGACGCGCGAATGGCGGAGTGTTTTCATACAATTTCGAGTTTTCCCAACTTCCACGAGTGTTGATATAACTATATATCAATACGGAAAAAATGTTTTATATATTTTTTATAATATAGCAATGTCAAAAACCCGAAGGATAAGAAAAATTTCCGTGTTTACAAGCGGCGGAAAATTTCCCGTGTTGACATTGAGTATCAACACGGCTCTTAGCCAATCAGCGTTCAGAATTTACAAATGCTATATTATAAAAAGAATTAATTAATGACATTTTCTCACTCTGATATATGCCTACTTATTGAGCACCATCTGCTGCACGGTAGTGCTGGGTGAAACTACTTATAAATGATTTCAAATTGACTATAATACTCTGCAAAAGTATATGTAAAACACTCGAAACTAAAGCTTCGAATTACGTCGACGTATACCTGTCATGTTAGATTTTGCAATTAGCAAGATGAACACTACCAAAATGATCGGCCCATCGTGTTTGTAGTTTAAAATCTTGATGCCTAAATTTATCAAATTTATCAAATACAATCCAGCACAACGACATTATCGAAACTTTTATCCAATATTATATGATTCAAACTTTGTCAAACATTAGTACATACACGCAAGGGTGGGTTGACTACAAATTTTTTGTAGTTCTCTACTTAAAAAATATGTAGTCAGCTACAACTACTGCTACTTTTGAACAAAAGTAGTTCGCTACTGACTACAGCTACTGCTTAAAAAATGTAGCGAACTTTTCGCTATTTCGCTACGCAATATTTTTTAGTTTTACTGTATTTGGAGCATCTATACTAGCTCAGGCTGTAACGTAACCTATAACAAATCGACTTACGAGTAAATAAGACGACATGCACTTGCATAGTTGCACGGCATATTTTATTCGTGCAAATTGAGTATTGATTTTAAGCCGAAACCGTGTCTTAATAACATTCTATTCTATTAAGATGCTATATAACAATTTTAAAAAGTAGCGAATAGCGATTTGCTGTTTGAAAAGTTGTCAATTGTACTTGGCTACTTTTAGGCAACATGTAGTTCGCTATAACTACAGCTGACTGTTTTGAAAAAGTAGTCAAAAACTACTTGCTACTTGAAAATTGTAGTTCGCGGAAGTAGCGAACTACAATATATACACGGTATACAGCTAATTCAATTAAGGTTGTCCTTTGAGCGCCCAAGGGATGATGGGTTATTGCTTATTTAGATTCATAAACTTTGAAATTTGGCTTTGCAAGAATACCTTGGACATATAGAAGACTCACGACAGAAAATATACTTGTTGCAAAGGCAATTGTCTGAGTTAAAGAATAGGTGAAAACCCGTCATCCCATGCGCGCTCAGAGTTTAAGGTTTAAGGTTTTGAAAGGACAACCTTAATTGAATCAGCTGTATACGGTATCGTTAACGAAAAGAATGCCAATGTACGAAGTACATGGGTAAATATCGGCACTGTTTAACCTTTTTCATTAGGAAGCTTTGTTTATATGAAAGCGGATCACCGTGTCAAGACCTTTACAAACGTAAAATAAATTGGCAGATAAACTAATCTTTCTATAAAAATATCATTAATAGATCATGGAGAAAATTGGAAAGAAATCAATGCTTTAGACTGCGAGCGGTTCCTCCTTTCCGCGGGTTTAGATTTCCAGGCATGCGAAAGAAAAGGAGGGACTGCGAACAACATCAAGAAACGAAATACCAATCTCGTTCCCCCGAGCCTGCGATCCTCGGGAAGGAACATGAGACTCTGGGATAATCCGTCGCCGGAAGCCAGGAATCCTGGCTAAGACCGAACTACGCATTCCATATCAACGGCCAATCAGATTCCTCCCTGAAACGGATTATCCAAGAGCCTCACGTTCCTTCTCGAGGATCGCAGGCTCGGTGAACGAGATTGACGAAATACGCGTTGCCCACACAACGCAAAATTCCCATTGGTTGAAATTGATATGCCTGTCAATCAAATCTGATAACGTAGTAATTATGCTATAAATAATTTCCAGACTGAATGATGATTTTATAAATAAACATGACATTATCGGCTCCTATTGGATAGATTTAATTGGATGTAAGTAGTGTTTATGCAAAGGCGGAGCCAACTTGACAAGAGCGAAAAGTGGGCGTATTTCGTTTCTTGATGTGTTGTCGGTGATCCCTCCTTTCTCCGGAGGCAGCCTAGTCCAAGGCTCTCTCTCTAATCACTGCTTTGATATATTTAAATAAGTCTTAAAAGTTTTATGCCTGGGTGCGCTGTGCGGAACGCTTCAGCGAGAGAGCCTAGCAGATTTCGGTAAAATGGTCCCTGATTTCAAAAAAGTGGTCCCTGGCCTGGTTACCAAGCATACCGATCTGTAAGTAGAAAATGTTATGGAAATTTCCTTTGCGTTTATAATTATAAGTCATTAGTTTTGCTCTAATGCTGTCGGAACAATGAAATGGGCTACGTTTCACTAGCATACAGTCATAATGGAATAACGGGCTAAATATGACTCGTGTTTACTAAAATATAAAGCCAAATTAAATGCTATCTAGAAGCTTGAAAATTATGGCGAGTCTCCGACTAAAAATATTTTGACAACACAGTCGTGTCAGGTAAACATTTCCAATCTCCTCAGTTACTTAAACCTGTCAAGTAGAATGCGTAGTTGTGTGTACCAGTATGGTCTAGTGTTGATCACAGGCTTGCGAGTTTATAAATAACATCAACGATTATACGACCATTGTTCAGAATCAGTTATTTAAAAGTTTTTTTTTTAATTGAGCACATTTTTAATACAGTTTGAATATGGTTATGTAGACATCGAACATGATGAAAGGAAAATTTGGCATAACCTCCATAAAATCCCTTAGCGAGGCTTGCTTTCATCCTGAAATTAAAAACGTTTCATTTACCCCTGAAAAATTAGGCCCCCTTCTTGGCTTTTATCGGGGGAGGAGGGGGGATTACATCCCCACATCCCTCAGCCCGCCCTGCTATTAGACTGCGGTGTCTGTGCCTATATGTAGTAATTTTGGTATGCAACACTGACATTGTTCCCATAACATTCGCAATTAAATTTTGCCTTGGTACAACATTTTTAATTACAGCTAGTGATAATGAATCATTACAAATTTACAAACAGGTATAAAGTCCTATTCAGTTATACTAGTTAAATAATTAACCTAAGTTGTGTGCAGCAATTTGAAAAATACAAATTACGAGAAAAAGCTACTACTTTTGAATGGAGAGTGCATCTCATAATAATTTTCATTTCACTTCCAATTTTATGCCAATAACTTCGCAGATATTGCAAATTATAACAACTTTAGCGGGCGTTGTGGCGTATTTTGCGGGCTAAAACGAACAAATTAGCGGGCTAAAATAATTTTAGCCCGTTGAATTTTAAATTGTTTACGTCCGCCGGCGTCTCGTTTTTCAGTAGCATTAGGGAGTTTAAGTTGCCGACAACGAACAACGGGTACGGAATACGGTTGAAGGCTTGTTTTCGCATTGCTTTAACTGAGGCAGACAAAATTTACATATTCCCACAGCATACTTTTCACCGTAGCGACCTTGGCTATACAGCGTAAAAATTGCATTGTGTTATAAAACAGAATGAAGAACATATATAGCAACGAAACTGACTGCGCAACGTTGCAGGTTGGAGAGTACTTTTATAAATAAATGATGAAAATTAAAAGATGGAACATAAAGCCATGCACATAAAACATGTTGGGATAAATTTGTTATGACAAGCATTTAGTGTTTGTATACATATAACAAAAACTATTTCAAACGTAGTTGGTAGTTCGTCGTCAAGATCTTAAACTCCCTAATGCTGGATCTGGGCACTCCCGAAAGCAAGGGAAAACAAGAATTAGGCCTATTTATGTTGTGGCAGAAACTATAGACAGTGACGAAGTGCATGAAACTCATGAATGTAGCCTAAGTTTATCCGTAGTTCGCTTGTCTTTAACAAACGAAACTAGCTTTTTTATACCAAACTATCACTTCATAAATTGCGTAAACTTCTTTTTTATTTTTCCTCTTGTCTTTTGAGAAAGGTTTAGTGTATTTTTCTTCGTATAAAAACTGAGTTTGTAGTTATATATAATGCAACGAAATAACAATGCATGCATACAGCGTGAATACGGCATTGCAGTTATTCTACTATTTGGCGTAATCTACTGTAATCGCCCTCTAAAGTTTTTATAATAGTAATGCAGTTGATGTTCTTGGGCATAAATATGTTTTTGGCCCTCCTCAGGACTCATTTTAACCCTCGCTACGCTCCGGCTAAAATGAGTCTGAAGCAGGCCAAAAACATATATAATATATGCCCGCGAACATCAACTCTTTTGTTATATTATGGCAATTATATATGTTTGAGTGAATAAATGACGAATGGGCAACTTGATGAATGAAATTACAATTAAGTAACATGAAAAAGATTTAAATATAAGTAATTTATATACTTACCCATATTAGTAAACTGTGTAATGTCCTGGAAATTTCTACTTGTCTCTTTTCGTCCAGGTTAGCAATGCAAATGACTATCTATACTCACTGGCTTCGATTTATATGTTTGGCACAATAACAACGCTTCTTACTGGAACAAACTATGTGACAAGGGCCGCTCGAGTGATGACAAGTTCGAGTGAG